AAAATTCAGGTGCTCAGGCATGAAAATGTGCTGCTCAAATACTATACTTTTCCGCACACACTGAAAAAAATTAGAGGGAACATTGCTTGCAATAAACCTTTATATTCATTTGAACTGCCCGGACTTCCTTATTTTTCCATGTTTGACCTTAAGTTGACAGAAGGAAAGACTGCTTACAGTTTTGACAAAGCAGTTTTTAATAAATGCAACAAAATAAAATAAAATAACTATGTAAGTGTATGCTGACTACAAAGAGCTAATAGATTCAGAGACAACATAACATTGAGTATCAACTGTAGAGAAATTCTTGGCAAGGAAAGGTTGCTGCCATTATGCCTTGTTTTGGGCTTCCTGTGGCATCTAACTAGCCATTGCAGGTGCCAACATATGTCTAGTAGACCACTTCTACATTGGTATAGCAATTATTTCATTTATTTAGGGCACCATTCAATTAACTGACAGCATATACATTCATCCTGGTGAATAAATGAGGGGGCAGAGAAATAGAGAGATATTGCTGACTGAATTTACCTGAAGTTGATCTGTCTTCAATATGAGAAGTTGCCATTTTTTGGAGTGCATTTGTTACGACCGGAGATGAACTGGAGGGTTGATTCTTTGGCTTGAGTATTTGGTCATCTTTATAAGTGCAAGCAAACTGAGATCTAATTAAAGGTTGCTTCAACTAAAAAGGAAGTAGATCAATATGAATTATAATGTATAAGTGAAGAAGACAGGATTTCTATCCCACTGTGAGAGTAATAGCAAAGTCCTGGAATAACTATTTGTATACCTAAAGTTACTGTATAATTGCTTGTATTTCACATGAAAAAATAGCCACATTAAGTGTATTTTAGAAAGCTGTAGTCTTGTTTGATTTTTGAAAGGATTCTCATAAGTTCATTAAAAAGAATATTTTTTCCTCTGTATGCAAACATACATGTATACAGATAAACATATAGCCAGATATAAGCTATGTTCACGTACTCCACTAAGTCAAGACTTCTTTAGTCAAGATTTACTGAATGAGCCACACTTGGCACAACATTTATAAAGCACAATGACTGTATTCACGTAACAAACCAACACATATCCATATTCACGTTATGCAGTATCTTGGTGTGATGCATGAACAAAGTCACAGACAAAGGTTTCTTTCAGGAAAAAGTAGGTAGAGCCAAGAAGAAAGGGAGGGTCCAGAGACAGAAGGGACACATTCATGCAAGGTGAACTGTCTTCAACTGGTTCTTTGGTGAGCCATTTTTTACTTAATTTAGCAGGCAGGGGGGGTTAAAAAGATTTCAATATATGTAAAAATATTGCAAATGTATTTATACTGTATTTTTTACTGTTTCAATAAATAATAAACAATGGATGAAGCCTCTTATGCACCAAGCAGTTAAAGTAACTAATGTTCACCAAGGGCTTATATTACAGAAGTTAGCAAACATGGAATCTGAGCATTTCTAAGCTGTAATCTTAGAGAACCCACTGTTGTGGCAATATGGGAAAGGAGGTTTTCCAGTTTATGTTTATTTTGAAGGTAAAAACAAGGGGGGGCGAGAAGTAAGATAAAAGCTTCTTGGCACATAGGAGCAAGTTTCTCTCCCCCCCCCCTCAATTTTCTGGTTTTGTTTTCATAACACCCCCCTGCATTACTTGAGGTGGTGAAGAGATGTAATCAGCGTAAGGGCAAATGCTTGCAAGCTTAGTGGGAAAGGGGACTGACACCAGACTGGTCTGTTAGAATAAAATTCAAAGGTACCAATCACTCCTGCGGAGAAACAAAAAGTTCCCAAGCCTTTGCAATGTAAAGGCAGGAGAAAAAAGATGTAGGCTTTTATCTTGGGGCTGACAATATGTAAGTCAAGTAGTGCTGGTTTTCTTTCTTAGAAAGGGCTTTTCTAGAATCTAGAGGGGGGAAAAGTATCTTTATGTTTAAATCTCTGGCTGCAAACCTTCTAGTTCAAGTAGGAGAATATTAACAGCAATTATGCCTTAGCATCATTGACCTATTCTGAACAATAGCCTTATTTCCCCCTAAAAGTGATCTATTCCTCCCTTTTAAAAACAAACCCAGAAAATAGAACAGTAGCATAAGCTTTTTAAATTGGATCAAACAGGATACACGGCCAGACGAACTCATTCTACTTTATGGTAAGATTATGTTAACATAAAATTATGCAAACCTATAAATACATTCTCCTCCTCTCCCCCCCCTTCCCCCGACTCCCTTTTACATTCAGAAAACTAGGTAGGGTCCCTTCTGAGCTGCACTTCTGCTGTAGGCTAAGTTGTCTTTTATCTGTCCATTCCCTTGGCTGTGTCTCTTCTTCCTATATGCAAACATCAGTCCCACGTAGCATTACATGTAGGATGCCAGAATGCATAGGCAACAAAGTTTAGATTTGATAAGTTTAGTTTAGTTTAGTTTAGAATCTATAAAATAATAAGGTTAGTTCAGATTAGATAAATGCTTCATCTTGGGAGGAAGACGCAGGCAAGAGAGGTTCATGGTTAACTACCTTGATTTTTTCACACGCTTCCATTTGAATCCGTTGTCTCAGAGCTTTGGGAGAAGATCCCCTGGACTGTGTTGGAGATCTATATTAATATTTAAGCAAAATACAAGCTACTGTGGTAAGCATGAAATATGTTGGTTAGCCTTATATGATATGCATGTATAGATTTAGAATACTTGTTAATACTGTACATTAAATGAAGTACAAGACCAGAACCCTTATAAAGCAAAACCAACCAACCAAAGAATTCTGAAATTCAGAAGCTTTTGTCTGTGTGGTTTTTAATCCATTTTTGAAAAAGCCAATTTACTTAGATACGAGGTTCCACTATAAAATGAAAGGTTCTGTAGGTGCTTATCTTCCATATGTGCATAGGAACTCCTATGTCTACTTGAGACAGCTTGATTGGGTCAACGAAAAATTAGAAATCTGGTTAGTCTTCCTTTATTTCACTTTTTATGCTGTTCACAATTCAAATATTTCTTCTCTCTTTGTGTCTTATGGTCACATCTAATTTCTATATTCAGCAAGGAAGAATCAGTAGCATTATAACTTTCCAGTTAGAATCATCTATTCAGTTCTTAGTAACATAAGATTAATTTTGCTTGGTAATGATTTTTAACATTCTGATCATATCCTGTGGTCCTAAGTACCATATTTTATCCTATTTTCCTTTGTAACTGCCACAACAGAATACTGACCAAGAACAGAATTTTGACAGATAGCATTCCAAAAAGCTGATGTTTCCAATGCAGAATAACCTACCATTCTAAAAGTTACAGACCTCTGGATTCATTTGTGACCTTAGCTCTCCATGTACTCTCTTCTAGCTCTCTGCAAACTATTAATAATTCTGACAAATGCAATCTTTCCCCAATTCTTGGCAGCTACTAAGCAAAGCAAAAAAAAGTGGGGGAAGGGAGGAATGGAGTGATCAAAAAGAGAATGAAAGCCTGCTGAGCAAGGCTCGTGCAACTCTTTCCAACTTCTTAATAGCTGCCTGCTCTGGTCATTGACTGAGAGGGAAAAAAGAGGGGAGAGATTGGAATTGAAATGGCAACATTCCAAAAGGATCCCAATTTCCTTCTCACTCTCTGGGGAAGCGCAATGGAGAAATGTTCTTCATATCATTACCTCCATCTTTCTTTTGTTCCCGCTGCCCCCAGACACCAAATTTGAGCCAAATATGGTTCAGTTTTCAGGAAGTTATTGTATTAGACATAAATCCAAACCTTCTTATATAATTCTTTCAAACATTCCACTAGGCTGGATAGAATAAACAAGGTAAAGAGCCAAAACATAGCTTCTGGGATTTTTTTTCACCAACTGCTTTATCAACAATAGTCACAGAAGACATCTATATTTTCAGTAATATGTTGCATCTGTTTGTGTATGTTTCTGCTCTCCAACTGTCTTGCGTCTGGGTTTTGTGCACACTAGGAAACACAAAGTGGGCAACATATATAGACAGTTCTTGACTTAAGTCTGGTCGTTTAGCAACTATTTGAAGTTACAACAGACTTCCAAAAAGGTACTAACAATCTAGTTAAGAATTTCTGATGGTCATCCCCTCCCACAGTCACATGATCGCATTTTGGATGCTTGGCACAACTAGTCCACTTTTATGACCATTTGCAGTCACGTAACTGTGTCTTACAGTTTTCCAGCAAAAATGCCTCAAGAATGAACAATGGGTTTGCTTAATGATGGCAGCATTCACTTTATGACTGCTGCGTTCAGCTAACAGTCGCTGCAAAAAGGGTTGTAAAATTAGGTGTGGTCATGTGATGACCTGCTTAATTACCATCATAACTTACAACCACAATTGCAGGTTGATTTATGATTGTAAGTTGAGGACTACTTGTCCTCCGCTCAGGGTCATGTGACTTGGGGGGAAAAGGGGAGGGGGTCTTAGAATGAAGCAGTTACCAACATTCCAAGCCACTTGTCATTTGTCTCTTTCATAGATGAGTTGGGGATTATTTTCAGGAAACTTTTTTTTCAACAGTCTAAAGCCAGATTCTGCCGTTTTTAAAGCTCAACCTGTCATCAAATTTGGGGGGTTTAATTTTTGGAGAGTTATCCCACTGATGGACAGACAGAAAATGTAGCATCACACATTCTACATAATTTCTTCTAATATTCTAAAGAGTTGGAAAAAATAAAATGAGTGGTAGAAAGAGACATTGAAAATGTAGAGTTATTCACTTTTGTTTCTGGCTTGTATCAGCATTAGCATTATTATATAGGTTCCCAGATATTTTCTGCAAAAGAAAATAGTTTTCTTCACAAAACAAAGATTGAATCTACCTCATCATCATCATCTTTGAACTTACTTGAACAATAACATGGTAGAAGGAAATCCAAATTCTTCACTTCCAAATAACAGGAGAGCTTTGTTGCTGAGAGGAGGATAACTAGCTGCTTCATCTAAAACAGCCAATAAGGACTTCACAGTATCTCTGCCACAGTAAACAGTGTCGTGGTTTATAGAATGTAGTTTTGGCTAAAAATTAAAATAACTTTATTAGCTGTACTATATGATAAGTTTATTAGCTACATTAGACCACACTGAAGGGGTTTGATCATGGAATTCATATTAACTTACTTCCAATCCAAGCTTCCTAAACACATTTAAATGATGCAATGTTTATCTTAAACCCTGAATTGAAATATCTGAAATATTATTGATATCTATTTTGGGTTTTTTTAATAATAGGCACATTTCTGTAGAATACCATCTAATGCAGATTCATCACATAAAACTTCCTTATGTTAGAAATTTCATTAATCAACTGGCTCTGTAAACCTCAAGGCAAGGTGCATACAAACAGAGCACAAGAAACAGTAAGGTGCACAGGCTGGTGCTTGTACAAGCAAAGAGGCAAAAAACTGACACGAGATTCAAGCAAGGCAATAACCTTTTCCCTAGGAAGAGTTAGCCAATCCTGTCAGGAAGAAATCAGCAGATAAATCACTTAACACAAGATAGGGAAGTCAAAATAAAAATAATCACTGCCAAAATATACTTGGAAGGGAGGGTGGGGAACAAATGAAGAACTTCCCAAAGATTAAACTAATTATCAGCACTACATTAGAGGAGAAAGCTTTTTCTTCTTGCAGAAAATATTTGCCAATTTAAAATAAGAACATTTTTAAAACACATTACCATTTTCAAAGTGGTTCAAAGCAACTATTTTCTTCAACTAATGAACAAGAAATAATCAGGGCATTAAAAAAAAAAATCTCTGTTATATCAAGCAGTTTAGAAGAACAAAAGGAGGCCCCTTACTCGGGCTGGACTGATTCCAGTAGCGCTGGCTGCCACAGCCTCATGCTGAAAACTGATAATATTTTTAATCCTCAAATCCAAATCTTGTACAACTTCCTCTGCTGCTTGACAGAAAGGATCCCTGCTGTTTCGGCCTTTTATCAACTGCATCTTGATTGTTGATAGGATTCGGCCCCCTGCATGTCTGAAAAACAGACCTAGGGGTCATTTCCATATTCATTTTGGCACTATCTTAAGATATTTAGTAATTTGAAAACAGAGAATATTCACAGTTAATCAAAATTGCTCAGTAAACAGCTTTGATCTGTTAAGTTGCACAGCATCTTGAAGTGAAATCTTGCCTTTTAATGAAATAATTTGGTATTATGAATTGGGAGATTACAGAAAGAAGAGGTAAGGACAATAGACTCATACCTTGTTAACGCATCGTTTAAGTAGCAAGGAAAATAGCCTGTTAGAGGTTTAATTACATTATCATAGATTAGCTCACATTATCCAAATCCTGCTTCACCACTAAGATTTTGAAATCCTCTGCCTTGTTTCATACCTATTTGTTTCCCATCTACTTAGGAGCATATTAACTTATGAATAGTGTTTTCATAAAGACTGATAAACAGCATTTTAGACAGAATTTCAAGCACCTGGAAAGACAAAGTTTTCTAATACTTTCATAACATAAAATGCACCCTCCTAGAGATATATAAGTTTCCAACATTCTAGTGCATACTACCAGAAAACAGAAGTTGAAGTTACATAAATAGCATATTTGACTTTAAGTTGGAGTAATTAAAGGCGAAGAGATTTCATCTCCTTTCAATATATTTCTTTGAAATTAGATAGTACATATACTAAATTAAAAAAAACACCAACTCTCCTCTCCCATTTGTTAAAAGTGACAGGCTTTTGGCTAACATATTAGAAATCAGATATGTATTCTGAAAGCTTATTTCCACATTCTGGAAAACTTCCTTCCATTAGTCTAAGTCTGATTCAAGTAAAGTATAAAGGGAGAAGCCCTCCAAAACATTAGTATTTTATCCCATTTGTATCTTTTTATATGGTGAAAAAATTTGAACATAAGATATAAAATTGCTCCATTTTCTCAATCCTTTCTTTGGAGACAACTACGTACAGATTTTTCTCAGGCTATGTGGAAGCATCTTATAACCTTCATGTTGCCTGTTTCAAGTGAGACTTTGTTACAGCCTGCTTTTCAGACTTTCTTGAACTGTACCAAATCTGTACCTACTGTTCCAAGACCTCTATGACTTCATTCTCATTTCACTGTTTATTGTGTAAAGAGGATAAGGTAGTGTACTTGGTCTCTCCATAGTTTTTATACAGTTTTATAAGTACGACTATAAAGTCCTTAGGAATAAAGAATAAAGTCTGAGTTCAACAAACTGATGATGAAAATGGAATTTGCTCTCCAGAAAAATTTCATTACCAACTTTTTCAGGAGGGGCATCAGTAATTTCAAATGGCTGCTTATCACCTTATTATGGGTATGCTTCTTTAGGTAAGCCAAAAGCTAAACTAAATACTTCTCTTGATAATCACAGAAAATATGATTATCAAATTTGCAGATGTCTTAAACATGGGGAATAGCAAACTCCACAGAGACAATAATGAGATTCAGGAGGACCCAAAAGCTAGTAAAATGGGAAAAAATTAGCAAAATAAATTTAAACAATGACAAATGCTACCAATATGGTAGAAAAAATTAATAACATGAGTATTTTATTTATGATGTTTATTTGTTGCCCATCTCATATCCAACGACTATGGGTAGCTTACAGCATAAGTAAGAGTATAGATAAGAGGGACATTGGACAGCAATATGTGCACAAAAGATCTGAATATCTTGGTGAATCATAATCACAAGTGAATATAAGCCACAATGTGATATAGCTGAAACCAGCTAACCAACCAACCCATTTGTAGACTGCATCAGCAAAAGTACAGAGGTATTTTTGACTATTGACTATTTTTCAGCACCATTCAAACTCATGATAGTTGGGGGGGGGGGGGGAATCTACAGCATATTTAAAACCATTTATGGCCTTCACAGCATCCATCAGTCACATAATCGTCATTACCATACATATCAATACTCACATTCGGGTTTCTGACATGTGGGGGTTTTCCCCCTCTTCAGAGAGCAGATTAATTGGAGAGAAGGGGAGTTTCAAAAGAGTGAGCTGTTTGTTCTTCTACACATAGAGAGCAATGTGATTGTTCCAGAGGTGGAAAAGGGCTAGGCAAATGAGAGATTGACTACAAAAATCACTTGCTTTTTTTTCCTCTCCGCCTGCTCCCTCACAGAGCAGAGGAATTGGAAAGAGATTTCAAGAGTGTATTTTGAGGTGATTTAACAGAGAATGTCATGGAGATGCTGCAGTATTGGATCCCTATATAAACCACTTTCATTGTATTTAAGTACAATGACAATAAAGATTATACTTATACTTATATTGGAAAAGAGGTTGGCTCTCCAAATTGCCTTCCAATTCTTATATTCCAAAAAAAAGATAGTTATAAAAATATATATATATTTTAAAAAACCTATCTTTTGTGTACACACAGTACCAGCAACATCAGTAAGCATCACTCTTGGTATCTGCTAGCTTCTTAATCCATCTGACTTTTTATTTAAAAATATTCATATTTTAAAAATAGGGAGCTAACATTCTCAAAAGGAATTGACATCTGGGATGATAGGAAGCATCCTGCAGAAATAGATCTAGACAACATGCTGGTTCATCTGTCCTTTGTTAAATCATTGTGTTCTTTAGGGCTGTTGTTTTGTATATGGGAAAGCAACCAACTGTCATTTTGCAAGGTCACCTACTACTGTGTGCGTTCTCCAGATTATAAACTATGACAACCAAGCCCCAAAAGGATGAGGAGCCCTAATATTCAAAGTAAAGTCTTTTACTGAGTACGTTTGAATGATTAACTATGTTTTTGCACCACATAATCCAGTAAAGCCAAGATTTGACATCCTTGCCTTGAACGAATATGCCTGCTGTGAGCAGTTAATGTCTCAATTCTTATTTAATCTTTCTTCCCACAGTCTTCATTTCCAAGAAAAAAGTTCCCATTCCCCATCAGATATACATAACTCTAGCTGGACCAAAGAAAGGAAAACTTCATTCACTTTTTATATGAAGGAGCCAAAATAAAGTGCTGATCTACTATGTGAGGGATTAGTTTAGGACATCATGCCATGTCTTACTTCATTTTGCATTAAGGTATGCTATTAAGAGGCAATCCTTGTAATACAGAACTACCTATGATTGTTAAATCCTACCAAGCTCAACAGGATTTGCTCCCAAGTAAGTGTGCATCATACCGTGGCTGGAGACTGCTTTTATTAAGTGTTGAAATACTTTACCCAGTGTATTAAATGTGCTGCCTGTACATTACATGAATGATTTAATCTGAAAAAAAGAAGATTCCAAGGAGTTAACATTTGGGGTTTTTTTTTCAATTCTTCCTCTCATCTGTGCCATTTTAAGTTAAAATGCAAGTATCAGAGGAGAATGCTCCAAAATGGTATTTATGTTTCTGGGCCAACCTTGGATGGGAATGATATATAGGAGCAATTCAATCCAGTTGTTCAGAGTTCCAACCCGTGTAGTTATTATCCATCAAAGCAGGAAATAACCAAGTGTGGCATTTCATCACTCAATTCAAAACAGGGAAAAGAAAGGAGGGAAGGAAGTTTTTTTTAAAAAAAGACTTATTCCTTCCTGGGAAAGCAGCTCCTCTGAAAGTCAAATCAGTTTTTCAATTGCTGGATGCAAACAACCTAAAGCCCCTTCACCTTCATCATAAGACAACTTTCAGAGATCAGTTGTTTTAAAGCTTATACTAGGAATACATTATTTAATAGAGGTGTGACAAAATTCCCTCAACAAACAAAACAGTTTAATATTTGGAGTCATTTTTAGTTTTTTGCCCTTGTTTATACCAAGTCTGTACAATATTCTTTTTTCTTCATTGAGTTAAAATGACAATTGGATATTTAGTGTAGTCAAAAGTTAAAGCAAACAGGGATTCCTGAGAAATTCTACAATGGCCTTGTAGAAGACACAGGGAATCACCAAAATAATCCAATCTTTGAAGGATACAAATGTTTACTTGCCTCTGGCATATACATTTTATTTATGTGGTTGAGTGAAAAGTACTAATTTTTCATATGTTTTCATTAGCATGAACATTTTCCCCAGAAAAAATTCATAGATCCTTCATAAATTCAGTAATTGCCTTTTAAATATTATGTTGTAGATTTATATCCCTTTGTTTGTACAACTCAAGGTGGCCATATGGCCTTATGACTACTAAGGACATCTCATACAGGGAAGCTGTCCAAAGACAATACAAACAAATCCCAAAATGCTTCATTCATATTTAAATTTGAATATTTCTTCTTGCAATATGGTAGTTGTATTGCAATTAAAAGCATATAATGTGGTACTGTTAGATTTTTATTTGAGAGAAGTAAGAGAAAAATCCAGGGCTTTGAACATGTATCCTTCTTTCCAGCCACTTTTTGTGGGTACCAATCCCTCTCCTGCTGCAAAACTTTGAGAAATAATGGAAAGAGCAGAAAAGGTGTGAAAGGTTGTTTTTAAGCAATGCAAAAGAGTAAATAAGGGCTATGCTGTGGTTTTTTTCAGCCTACTTTTTGCTTGAACCATCTCTCCCTGCTCGTCTTATCCTTCTGATTCACATTTCAGATATTTTCTGTGTGACTCCTACATGACCCCAAGCCTCCACAAAGAAACTGTGCATCCATGAAAAGAATGTTTTTAGAATTACAATCGATCACTGCTTTATTTCCTTGAAACAAATTAAAGGATAATCCAGTAGACACAATTTTTACCTGGATTCAAGTTCTACCTGTGCCAAAAGTTCCTGGCAAAAAGTTTTCCCATCTGGAAATATGTACAATCTTACAGGATGGTTCAAAAATGAATATTAAAAAAAAAACCCAGTAAACTATAATCCTATAAACTGCAGGTGTCTGGCTTGCCTATTTGTAGGCTTCTGACATGAAAAAAAACCAACTTTTTTCCTGCCAAGTAGGTAATCACTCACTAAGTGGATAGCAAGGGAAACAGTTGCTTCTATACTACACTACTATGATTACACTTGCTGAATGGGGAAGAAGTAGCT